AGTGTCACTGGCCCTCATATGTGGGATCCGAACCGGGGCCCTCTGGCATCCCAAGCCTGTTCTTAACCATCGCGCCACTCGGCCGGCCCCCTTTTCTTTTTTTTGATAATAGTCATCCTAACAGGTGTGAGGTCATATCTCACTGTGATTTTGATTTCCGTTTCCCTGATGATTGGTGATGACTGGGGGAAGGCACACAACCCCGAGACTTCTCCTGCAGGAGGGAGCGAGAAAAGTGGGGTGTGCACATTCATAGAAAAGACCTGATGGGGGAGGGGGCTGTCACTTTGTGAGGGATGAAAAGCATAACTATTGCATTGTTTTGTACACCTGAAACTAATAATAAATAAATAAATAAATAAATAAATAAATAAATAAATAAAAATGTTTGAGAGGTTCCTACAATCTCTAGCTGGGCTGATTGGTGAAGGTATTATGCCTTCATTTCTGGAAGATATTTTTTTCTGACAAGAGAATTTTAGATTGATCTGCTTCAAATTTTGTTGTTATTCTTTCAGTCAGTACTTTAAAAATCTTGTTCATTGACTTTTCGCATACATAATTTTTAATAAGTATGTAATTTCTTATCTCTGTTTCTTGATACATAATGTACCTTTTAAAATTTGTTTTAAAATTTTCTTTTTATCAATGAATTTCAGCAATTTGATATGGGTGAGTCTCGTTGTGGTTTTGTGTGTATCTTACTTGGAATTCTACAGGCTCCTTGGGTCTGTGGATATATAGTTTTCATCAGATTTGGAAAATTTTTGTCCATAATTTCTTCAAAATATCTTCTGTGCCTTTACTTTTTCTGTGTCTCTAATTACATATATATTAGATCACTTGCGATTGACTCACAAGTCATTGAGTCTGTTTTTTTCCCCCATTTGTGATAATTTCTGTTTCTATGGCTTCACATTGACAATTTTTTTTTTTTTGCTGTGACTTTAATCTGCTGTGACATATCTGATGCATTTTTTATTGTGGATACTGTATTCTTCATCTCTAGAAATCCCATTTAGGTCTTTTTTGGTATCTCTCCTTATTTTCATGTTTTTTTTATTTAAGCCCTCTTACATCATAAACATATTTAAAGCATGCTTTAACATACTTTCTGCTTATTTAATTATCTCCTCATTTGTGAGTTTGTTCTATAGATTGACTTTCTCCTGGTTAAGGGTTATATTTTCCTGCTTCATTGGATCCTTAAAAAATATTTATTGGATGCGAGACATTGACTTTTGCATTGCTGAGTGTTGAATTTTACTTTATTCCTTTAAATAGAATTGGAAATTTGGGGGCAGTCAGTTAATTTATTTGCAGCTATGTTTGGTTGTTTTGAGGCATTTTTGATCTCCCAAGGGCAGGTCTAGAGTAATCCCTCCTCTAAGGAAGTTTTGCCCTACTACTGAGGTATGCATTTTCTGAGGTCTCTAGTGAATTCCCATGTGTTCAGAAAGGTCTCTTTATGCTGGTTGGTGGGAACTCAAATTAATCCCTTTCTCTTGATTGCTCCTCTTTGTGATTCTGGCCTACAAATTTTATTGTCCTTACCCTCCTTGTATTCCAGTGTCTGTCTCTTTAAGTCAACTAAGCCACTGAGCTTTCTTTGGGTTCCCCTATGTTTGCTGTAATATAGAAATTGCTAGTAGGCAGAAAACTAAGGCTTTCATAGGGCTCACCTTACCTGTTTTTTCCCTGTTAGTGATCACAGTGCTTCCTGATGACCAATGTCTGAAAACTATTGCTTATTACTCTGGTTCCAATTTTCTAGTTTGTATGTTAGGATGATAATTTCACACCTTGCTATTTTCTCATGGTCAGAAGCAAAAACCAAGATTCTGTTTAAAAATTATATCATTCTGCTATTTGTAGCCAGTATAACTTTACATAAAGAAGGCAATTGTACAAAAGAAGAAGAAGGAGGAAGAGGAGGCGGAGGAGGGGAGGAGGAGGGGGAGGAGGAAGAAATAACTTAAAACGTTTAAAGTTGTTACGTTTCCCATCTAAAATTGTCTATCTTACTGTCAGTATGTTGCAGGAAGCTGTGATGGAATCCAGCCTTCTGATTTTAGATATGAGTAAGCACAGTCATAGAGAATTTAAGTAACTTGCCCAACATGTATGAGTTAGAGAGTAAAATAAGGGTAGAACTATATTTTCAGAATGCTGATCCAATATAGTATTTCTACATCAGTTTTTATCTGGAAAAGCTTTATTGCTTCCTCCCTAATACCTTTAATTACAAGCCTTTCCACTGACCCATCTTCCCTATTACTTTTTAAGGGGTGTTTTCACCACAAAATTCTACTATACCAAAATTGACAGTGACTCTCTGCTTTTTATTTTATTCCATCAAACCCTAACTCCTTCATCTATCCTTCAGAGTTCCCCATAATCTGATTTCTCCTGCTTTTCCAGTCACATTTGCCTCTGCTTTCTTAACCAGATTCACATCTTTTATTCAAAAAAGATTCATATACTTAAATCTTTCCACACATCTTCCTCATTCTCTTTGACAGGATTTGTCCACACTGTTTGCCTTAAACTGGAATGTGATTAAGATGAAATCCCAACACTGCATTTCTTAATCAAGCGGGATTTTCTTGTTTTTATTGCTCTATCTTAAAAATATTCTTTTTTAATTTATAATTTATTTTCAGTGGGAGTCTCAAGGTACATCACCATCACTCTCATCAGTTATCTCAATTTAATATTTTAAGTTTTGACTTTGTACTACATGTTCAGGATTCTGAACACTGGCAGC